TAGCTAATTTTGCAGTATCTATAGTGCTGCTAGAGCGTTGAACGTACCTTATTAGCAGGTCTCTAATCACCTTTGCAATATCACGTTTTAACTAGATATACACACTAATTACTAGAAACTTACTATACTAGAGGAGCAGACAATTATCTAGTATATACTTAACCTTAATTTGCAAGGATTTGCACCCTAGCTATGTAAGGTGGCAGATATAGCTAATAAGATACTTAGTGTGCGTAGTAAAGAGCCTGTTAGTAAACTATAGGCTAGCAGGCTTGTAACGCGTTTAGACAAGCTTAAAATAGCCTTTAATTAAGCTAAGGATAGACAGAGGATACTATAGGAAGATCCTAAGATAATTAGTATGTAGTTTAAGCTAGTAGAGGATACTTAAGTTAAGTATAGTGTTTGTAATAATAATATATACAACTTTAATAAAACTAGGTTCTAGATAGGTGTTGCTTTGTCTTTAAAGGTTGTAACAGGCTTAGAGAGACGTGCTTAGCTAGAGCTTGTTCAGCCAGGTAATTGCAAGTAGGTTACCATTATCTAGAGCATCTGCGCTGCTAGGTATACAACCCTGCCTTTTATTATCTACAAAGGACGCGTCCATATCTCTGCCTAGTATAAGGAGATAGATATACCCTATAATTAGAAGCTCTTAGTCTCTAAGAATAGTTAGACAAACAACATACTTAGCCTTAAGTAGTTAAAGTACTTTAACACATATATAAAGACGTGTTAGGTAGGAGTGTATATGTTACTTATCTTAGACAGCTATAAGAGCTATCTTAACTAGGAGTTTAAGGACTATTACCTAGAGAACTAAATCCTTACTCTCTATATGCTACCTTACTTATTACACATCCTCTAGCTACTTAATATAGTCTATTTCTTGCTATTAAAGCGTAAGTACTCCTAACATGTTTAAGACTTAGCACACTAATATATCTTCTATATTAATAAGGAAGGCTTCCTACTAGCCTTTAGGGATATGTTCCTTAATATATTTATAAAGGTTAACTACTAAAAGGCCTTTAAGGTATTAGGGCTTATTCCTACTAATATATAGGTAGTGTTAGATTACCTTAAAGTGTAGCTACATACTCTACTAGTAGTACCTCTACCTAAAACACTGTAGCAATCTAAGACACTAAGCAATACACATAAGTTTAGGTCTTAATCTAAGCTTATAAGCAACTCCTTCTAATAATTACTAAGTGTAGTGTAAGAGGGGTTCTTAAAGCTTATAAAAGGGGCTAAAGAGATGCTATATAAAAACATCCTTATTAAGGCCTGCGTGTAAGAGCTTAAAGAGCAATTAGTAGTAATAACTAAGAGAAAATCGCGTAAGAGAAAGTAGATTCAGCATAGTGGCACACTTAAGTATGGCCTAGCAGCATTGCAGGTAGCTGCTGAGGCGTGTGTAGCAGCTCAGCCATCTAAGAAGACTTAGGGTAGAGGTGGTTAACTAGGAGCTTAGTTAACTGTTTAGCGCTATAGGAACTGCAGCAAAACTAGACATAACGCACAAACATGCTAGGAGGGTGTAGAAACATCTTCTAAATCTAATGTAAGCACACAGTATACTAGGTCACTATTTAATAGTAAGTAGTTGTAGTTGCAGTAACTTGTGTTAGTTGTGCTAAGAGAAAATGGCTGGTTCGGTGATATGGCCGGCTTGGTGATAATCTACGTTAGTATTATTATCTTCTTTTATATTAATAATATTATCCTTATATACAACAAATTAAAAGAGTAAGAGGTAATATAGATAATTAGCCACATACAGAGTTGTAAAGTTATAAGACTTTGTTCTTATAATCTTTCTCTAGCGTATTTCCTTCTTGGGTATAGCGCTATGCTTACCTAAGCATTACTATTGTAATCTCCAAGAAGAGAGGATTAGAATGGAGTGCTTACGAAGCCTGTATCTCCTCTCGTTCTTAAGATATGCTGTTCTCTATTTTTAGTAACTAGAGATGTTCTAGACCCTCTGCTTACAAATAGAGTAGCCTACTCTGTAAGATGCTGACGTATACGATTACGCATGCACCTACGTAATCTTGCTTGCATATGCAGCAATACTAAGCATAGATAAAGTAGACCCACTTAGAGGAGTCTAGAACGTTCTGCTTAGAAATACAAACAGAGGAGAGGAAGCATAAATACCTCCAGCTCTCCCCCCTCTGTTCGCTCTGTACCTAGCCTAGGAATCTCTACCTAGTATCTAATATAATAACTTGTCTATTATATTACATAACCCTACCTTACCTCTATTAGGCTATACGCTTCCTATTTGGACAAAGCTAGTCTAGATTTGTCTAGGTCCTTCTAGACTAGGAAGAAAGTAGTCTAGTCCTTCCCCTACTTTCTTTACAAGAGTAAGTATACCTGCACAGGAGGGCATAACCTATAGTAGTTCCTTAGCATAGAGATTATACAAGACTAAGCAAGCAAGAAAATCTACCTATCTTAGGCAGCGTACTTAGACAAAATTAGTTGCCTTGCTAAGAACACAACTATACAACATAACACTCTAATAGGTACAACTAAACTACAGCTAAGGAGCAGACTAGCAGCGCTAGCAGAAATTAACAAGTATTAGCGCAAAATTGGATCACTGCTGTTTGCTGCAGTTACCACGTGTAACGGGCTAGGCCCGATGGTAGCGCCTCGGCGCTCGCCGGCCTCGGCCAACCTCCGAGAGGAGGTGCCTGCCCAGCCGTACCCCCAGTCAGGAGGTCCCAATCTTGACTAATTGTGTAACCTCCGCACGGAGGACATAAAAGTCTGCAGACCTCCGCCTGCAGCCACTCCTCAACAAATCCATTTGATTCATACTTGCAAATAGCCCGCAGAGGCCAGCTCCTTACACCACGCAACCTGACATTGCGTTCGCCACATTAAGGCTTGCCTGGTTCCTCACCAATCTAGGCATCAGCCACTAAGATGCTGCGGACCAGGTCCTTCTATATCTACTCAACACTAAACAGCGATCACTATAGCTTAGAGGAGGCATTAGCCTCTAGGTAGCAAGTAACGCGTCCTTTGCTAACAACACTATAGACAGAAAGAGCTCCTAAGGCTACACAATTAAACTCTTTAGCAGCCTTATTATATAGAAAGTAAATAAGCAGGATACAGTAACAATATTAATAACTAAGGCTAAGCTTCTTACTCTTACACAGGTTGTAAAAGAAGTACTCTTTATCTTAAGGCTTTTGTGTAAACTACACATTAATATAGACGTATATGCTATTACAATATAATAAAATAATAAATAAATAATTTAACTAGTTACTAAGGAAGTGTTGCAACTATATACTAAACTTTAGCATATAGATATCTACAACTACTAGCTCTAATAGGAGGTAGCTACTAGAAAGATTATTATAGAATATGTCTAGTCTGTAAGCATAATAGTAGACAGACTTACAAAGGTACTCCTAGTAAACAAGTAGGAAGGTTTCCTCTAGTAACTTAGTCTAGTAAACAGGGAGTTAATAGAAGTGCTAAACAGTATACCTCTAGACAGGATTTAAGAATAAATTAAGGACCTTACATGCGCATAAATAGTTAGTATAAAGAGTTTCTAAGCTAAAGGGGGTGTGTTAGATAAGAGCAAGCAGCAAGAGGTTAGATCTGCGCAATTGAGCAGGGACCTGTTGTGCAGCTAATCAGCAGTTGCTAGGTCGATTAAGCGAGACCTGGCAACTCCTGATTGGCCCGCACACCGGCGGCCGCGAACAGCGCTAATTCCCCCCCCACTTCAATCCTGTAGCAACCAGCACGACGCTGACGGCAACACGATCGCCACGATCATCAATATATCATCATACCACCTAAGATCTCGTTAAGCACATACTCTGGCTCACAGTACGAGCATCTGACACCTTCAGCCACCTTTACCAAACATGAATCCTGACATTGTACCAGAGTTGTGGCCTAAATTAAGGCCAGTATTGCTGCTGCCTGAAAAGACGATGTGGTGAGACTGGTTAGCGCCATCTGTTGTCTTCGTGATTGCCTGCTCTAAGAACTTGTCTTGGGCGGCAGCGATCTCCTTTAACACAGTGATAGCTTCACTTTCTCCAATAGCAGATACTTCCGTGTCGCAGAGCTCGCGCTGTGCCTGCTGGATGGCTGGAAAAAGCTCGACTAAGCTGTCGACCAGCTCGGTGATGTCTTCAATGAGGCGACGAAACTGTTTCTCCTGGTACAGCGCCCACTTGGCCCTTTGCCGTACGCCAGACCGGTTCTGTCGCTCGATAGCCAGCTGCCGCATCTTGTTGTGAAGCTTCGCCATTGCTGGGTCTAGATCTGTCTGCGGGTCGTATACAGCGAGGCTATCGTCTTGAGGCGCTGTCCGACTCTTATAGCTGTTTGAAACGCCTTCAGCTCCTGCGAATAGTTCTACGATCTGGCCAAGCAAGGCCTCAGCGTGTTTGATAGTTGATTCTGATCCAAAACGTCCTTGGAGCGAGGCTGTATTTCGAACATCCTCGTCCAGATTCAGAGACTTGCCCCACCGCGACAGGCGGAGTCTTGCGTTGTCGAGTTTGAGCTGGCTTGTCTGGAAGTCTTTTCCAAATGTGCGGCCAAGCTGGACGAACTCGAAGCACTCAACTGTGTTGTTGAATAGGCCGGCGAGGGCGACGACACCAACAACAAGACCGGCTGCCTCTGCCATGTTGGGAGTGGAGACAATGATGATGGTGGAGACGGGAGAGGAGAAGGTGATACTAAAGAGGTATAAGTTACTTCTTTTTAACACTTGCTTGGGGCTGTTCAGCGCACAAGCAGCAGCATCAGCAGAGAAGAGGGGTGCGATTCTCTTATATAGGCGCGCAAAATCAGCCAGCCACTCAGCTGAAGAGCCAGCCGCTCAGCTGAATAGCTAGCCTTGACGCCCACGACGGCTCAGCCTCACGCACCAGAGCAGCTATCTTCCTGCGTCAGGCTCTCTTCATCATACAAAAATCAGGTCACTGTCAAATACTATGGCCAACCCTAGCTACAATATCACGCTCGCAGGTGACAACAACCAGGGGCTGCAGGTGGGACACAACTCTGGCGGTATCTACAACATTGCTGCACCCGGCAAGTGCCCGCCCCGCCCCCGCCTAATGCCGCCCCACCAGGCCCGCAAACTCTCAGTAAAAATGGATCGCTGATACCTCAACTGTAGGCTACGAGAACACCCTTGGTCGTCTACCGCAGGCTGCCGATGCGCCCTTCAACTCGTTCGCGAAGCAGCACGAGCCTGCATGCCTCCCTGACACGCGCGTCGCTCTCCTCGATGAGATACACAGGTGGGCCGACGGGCCAGATGAGCGGTGCATCTTCTGGCTGAGCGGCCTGGCAGGCACGGGCAAGTCGACGATCGCGCGGACGGTCGCGCGCAGGTACCACGACAAGCGTCTAGCAGCCAGCTTCTTCTTCTCGCGCGACGGCGGCGACGTCGGGCACGCTGGCAAGTTTGTGACGAGCATTGCAGTGCAACTCGCGCATAGCGTACTAGCAGTGCGGCAGCATATCAGCGATGCTGTTGCGGAGCGCAGCGACATTGCCAGCCAGTCACTGCGCGACCAGTGGCAGCACCTTGTTCTCCGTCCGCTGTCGAAGCTGCACGAGTCTGAGTCGTACATTGTAGTCGTCGACGCGCTCGACGAGTGCAACAACGAGCACGACGTCCGCATTATCGTGCAGCTGCTGGCCGAGGCGCGGCCATTGCTGACAGGCGCCCGACTGCGGGTGTTCCTGACGAGCAGGCCAGAAGTGCCGATCCGGCACGGGTTTAGGCAGATGGCGGAGACAGAGCACAGAGACGTGGTGCTACACAACATCTCGCCGTTGATTGTCGATCATGACATAGGGATTTTCCTGGAAGACACGCTTCAGTCCATCGGGCGAGAACGCTGTCTGCGCGCTGGCTGGCCTGGCGCAGAGATCATTGTGCAGCTAGTGCAGGGTGCGAGCGGCCTGTTCATATGGGCTGCTACTGCCTGTCGCTTCATCCGCGACGGAAAGCGGTTTGCGGCTAAGAGGCTCGACACAATTCTAAGCACTAACAGCAACACTGTAGCTGCGCCAGAGAAGCATCTTAACGAGATATATGTGACTGTACTCAGAAGCTCAATCCCTGCAGAGTACACAGACGAAGAGAGAGAAGAGCATTGTGACATGCTAAGGTATGTCGTCGGAAGCATTGTGGTACTGCTTTCTCCATTGTCTGCAGGGTGCTTGATTGCACTGCTTGACGCTGCAGAAGAAGACATCAGCCAGACACTTGAGGATCTGCATGCTATTCTAAACATCCCAGAAGACCCGGCCCAGCCGCTTCGTCTGCACCACCCTTCGTTCCGCGACTTCCTGCTCGACAAAAAGAGATGCGGCGACGACAGCTTCTGGGTAGACGAGAGGAACACACACAAGAAGCTGGCGTCCTGTTGTCTTGAGCTTATGTCTGGGCTAAGCGGCCTTCGTCAAGACATGTGCGGCCTTGTAGGCCCTGGAGTGCTAAGGATTGAGATTGATGAGGGGACAATTGCAAGCAGTCTGTCACCTCATCTGCAGTACGCGTGTCGCTACTGGGTCAGTCATCTTAAGCAAAGTCAGCACAACATCACCAACAGCGACACGACGCACATCTTTCTTCAGAGGCACCTTCTCCATTGGCTCGAAGCTATGAGTTTAATAAGAGAGTTGAGCCAATGCGTTCACTTACTTGACATCCTTCAGGCACTTACAAGCGTAAGTTCTAACTATAGATTGCCTTGGTGCTGTGCTAACTTCTAGATAGCCGTCTGCAAGCATTGTTCGAAGCTTTTTACACGATGCTAAGCGATTTGTTCTACGATTATAGTCTGTACTTGCAGATGCACCGCTGCAGATATATTGCTCGGCACTTGTGTTCGCACCAGAGAGGAGTCTAATACGACAATCCTTTGTGGATGAAGTGCCAGAGAGGGTCAAGATGCTGACCATGAAAGAGGAAGATTGGGATGCTTGTCGCAGCACGCTGGAGGGCCATTCTGAGTATGTCAGCGCGGTGGCTTTCTCGCCAGACGGGCAGCTGGTCGCGTCCGCATCCTACGACAAGACAGTACGGCTGTGGGAGGCGGCCACAGGGACGTGTCGCAGCACGCTGGAGGGCCATTCCT